GGAATTGTCCCGGCGACGTCATGAACAACAGTTGCTAATTACAGATGCGGATGTGGGCAAGACTCCTCGTCTACCATAGTGTTCGTTCCACGACTGATGGTATACACATCAACACACGATCTCAACTATGGAATCCTAGTAGGGACATTGGGCGTTGTCGCATTGTCGCCCTTACAAAAACAAGAAAAAAGTGTCAAAATGAACCAACACGCTGAAAACAATAAATACTCAGGTCTTCAGCGTGACGAGCGAACGTTTTAACCACGAGCTACCCCACCCCGAAAACATTCTAGAAGATCTATATAACAGTAACGATGCTTGAGTTAATACGGATCATCCATAAAGGATTGGATCCTTGAAGATCCGGGGTAGAGTAGTTGTTCAGCAACCCATGCTTGCCGTAAAAGACTATGCTTGCCGTAAAAGACTATGCTTGTCGTAAGAGGCGACTATTTAACAACGGGATCGGGTGGTCAGGCTCGCTGACTCGGTTGATGCATGCCATTGCATCCCATTTGCGTAGATCGATACTCGTGACGTCTTTCACTGGATTGTCTGGTCTAGACTAATTATTTATTTATTTACAGACCGCCGTCATAAAGCTGGAAAATTGATGAGAGCGACATTAAACAACAAAAACCAAACCAAACCTAAACTTCAAAAACGGTCTTTTTTATTCATTTCAGCTTTACCTCTACAACAGGTGTCGCAATAGGTTCTAAAGAGAAAAGTCATTTTCTAAATGATGCTTTGTTTGTTTGTTGTCTAACGCCGCACTCAGTAGTATTCCAGCTATATGACGGCGGTCTGTAAACAATCGAGTCTGGACCAGGCAATCCAGTTATTGACATCATGAGCGTCGATCCACGCCATTGGGATACGGTGACATGCATCAACCAAGTCAGTGAGCCTGACCACCTGATCCCGTCAGTCGCCCCCAACGACATTCTTGGGTTGCTGAAGACCTATTGTACACCGGATCTTCACGGGTCTCTAAACTATGCAGATGCAGTAAGACCCAAAGTGTCCTCGTCATGTTTTGCCATTCATAGCATAAACATTAACTGGAGGCCTATATCTGCTATAGAATCCAATTTCGTCTGAAATCAAATAAACAATAGCAAAACTCAAATTCTTAATTCGAGCTTTTTACCAAAACCATTAGCCTGGCAAAATCAAATAAAAACAGATATATTCTCCAAACCGGAGGCATCTTCATACTAATTAAATTACATTCTCAAAGGAATAGTTACCATGGTAACATGCGGTCGTTGATGAATATGTCACATTCTTAAATATGGAAAATTATGGCTTAGCGTCATGTGCAGATGTAATCAATTTTTTCAACCTACTTCTGACTAGCGTCTTGGTAATATCGTCACCATGATTATATATACATATGGCCAGTGGCCAGTGGCGTTGGCACATCAAAGGGGATATTCGAAAAACACTCGTACAGGTCGTGATAATAAAATTAAATGTTTTGTTTTGTGATGTGTTTTATCTGAAATAGGGGTGGTGGGGTAGCCTTGCGGTTAAAGTGTTCAATCGTAACTCAGATGGTCCCCGTTTGATTCCCTGGCTATACAGTAAACTACGGTTAAAACGAACTCGCTTATAACGAACTGACGGATATAACGAACTTACTTTTTTGGTCCAGACTAATTGCTGTAGTTATGCTGCATATATGCTTATAACGAACTAAAATTAGTAGTCCCTTTGAGTTCGTTATAACCGTACTTTACTGTATATATTTTGTGAAGCTGATTAGTGATTGTATTAGTTGTGATCGTGCTGGGAACCATACGCAAACCGTATAGTCACTATGTAAACAACAAGAGAGCGAATAAACAAATTATTTATTGTGTGTAATAAATACTTATTGAGCTTATTTACATGTGTGTCAGATACGAAACAAATTTTATTCACTACAAAGTTAAAAGAATCACGTGTGATCCGTGTGGTACATTTATTCGTTTATTGGTGTAGATAATAATTCTATGCACAAAAAAGGAAGTGGCTGTGAGAACTGATCAAAGAGCAATAAAATCAATTTCCTCCTTTTAATTCTCCAACGTGTAGTCACTTCAACACGACGCGGGAGGAAAGCTTGAAGTGGTACATGTCCTAGACGTGTACCAATTTGGTGAAACACGTGAGTATGGTAAGATACTTACGAACCAATCTCGACAATCAGAGTGTATCTTGGATACGAACCCTGACTGTGTGTGTACGTACGTGTGCTCTTACACGATGGGCCAGGTAAATCATGATAATACTAGCTGATATAAAAATGGTCGCGGTGGGGTACCCTACAGGTCAAAAAGGGTCACACAATGGTTCGAATCCCTAAATGGACATCACGAATGGATACCGTTCCGTGAAATGTTGATTCAGGCACCCTAAATCGCTGTACACTCCTGTCATGAGAGTGTTTATAAACAGCGCGGTCATCGTCTTTGTTACGGAAGCCTTTCAGGGCCATTTGTTTTTAACTTGAAATTTAAAGATAAGTTGAAACTCTTAGATGCTATGTTGAAATTGTAAGATACATCAGTTGAAATTTCAAGATACTAAGTTGAAATTTCAAGATAATAAGTTGAAATTTTAAGTTCTAATCTTAATTCAACTTTTTATTTTGAACTTTCAAGATCATTATCTTGAAATTTCTACTTAGTATCTTGAAATTTCAAGACGAAAAGAAAAAAACCATATGGCCCTAAAAGGCTACCGTATCTTTTAGCTCTTAGCAAAGTGTCATAAAGAGAATCAAACCGAGTCTACAGCATGACGAGCAAGCAAGCGCTTGAACCACAAGGCTACCCCACCATCCGACAAGTGCTAATCTGTATGTATTCATTACAAGCCAACCAGGGGATAGAGACTGATTCACTTATTTATTTCCCGTTATCAACAGTGAAAGAATCATAACAGTACTTCAGATATATCACGGCGTGTCAGGCGAAAGTTGGAGGTGGTCAAAGGTAACGCAAGTGGTGTTTACCATGTTTACTTAGCCTACGACCAGCGGATCCTGGCACGACAAAGGAGCGGAACTCATAACTGCTGCTTCTTAGCTTTTATCACCCGTAGATTTGAAATACAAAATAATAAAATAAAAGTAATTTTGTCAATAAAATGTCGGGGTTGTGGTAGTTGTAGATATAGGAGGTGGAACAATGCGTGATAACAGCATTGACTGAGTTGTTGAGATGTGCTGCACAGTCTCGCCACAGCCAACAGCCTGTGTCAACAGCCAGTGTCAACAGCCACACTGATTACAGCACACACTTCTCGTATTGAAGAAATGTTGGCGATTTTCTCTAATATGACCTTCAAGGTACCCTTTAAGAGCCTGGTTAGAATTGGTCTTCAGCAACCTATGCTTATCGTAAGAAGCGACTAACGGGATCGGATAGTCAGCCTCGCTCACTTGGTGGATGCATGGCACCGTATCCGAATTGTGAGTATGGTAAGATACTTACGAACCAATCTCGACAATCAGAGTGTATCTTGGATACGAACCCTGACTGTGTGTGTACGTACGTGTGCTCTTACACGATGGGCCAGGTAAATCATGATAATACTAGCTGATATAAAAATGGTCGCGGTGGGGTACCCTACAGGTCAAAAAGGGTCACACAATGGTTCGAATCCCTAAATGGACATCACGAATGGATACCGTTCCGTGAAATGTTGATTCAGGCACCCTAAATCGCTGTACACTCCTGTCATGAGAGTGTTTATAAACAGCGCGGTCATCGTCTTTGTTACGGAAGCCTTTCAGGGCCATTTGTTTTTAACTTGAAATTTAAAGATAAGTTGAAACTCTTAGATGCTATGTTGAAATTGTAAGATACATCAGTTGAAATTTCAAGATACTAAGTTGAAATTTCAAGATAATAAGTTGAAATTTTAAGTTCTAATCTTAATTCAACTTTTTATTTTGAACTTTCAAGATCATTATCTTGAAATTTCTACTTAGTATCTTGAAATTTCAAGACGAAAAGAAAAAAACCATATGGCCCTAAAAGGCTACCGTATCTTTTAGCTCTTAGCAAAGTGTCATAAAGAGAATCAAACCGAGTCTACAGCATGACGAGCAAGCAAGCGCTTGAACCACAAGGCTACCCCACCATCCGACAAGTGCTAATCTGTATGTATTCATTACAAGCCAACCAGGGGATAGAGACTGATTCACTTATTTATTTCCCGTTATCAACAGTGAAAGAATCATAACAGTACTTCAGATATATCACGGCGTGTCAGGCGAAAGTTGGAGGTGGTCAAAGGTAACGCAAGTGGTGTTTACCATGTTTACTTAGCCTACGACCAGCGGATCCTGGCACGACAAAGGAGCGGAACTCATAACTGCTGCTTCTTAGCTTTTATCACCCGTAGATTTGAAATACAAAATAATAAAATAAAAGTAATTTTGTCAATAAAATGTCGGGGTTGTGGTAGTTGTAGATATAGGAGGTGGAACAATGCGTGATAACAGCATTGACTGAGTTGTTGAGATGTGCTGCACAGTCTCGCCACAGCCAACAGCCTGTGTCAACAGCCTGTGTCAACAGCCACACTGATTACAGCACACACTTCTCGTATTGAAGAAATGTTGGCGATTTTCTCTAATATGACCTTCAAGGTACCCTTTAAGAGCCTGGTTAGAATTGGTCTTCAGCAACCTATGCTTATCGTAAGAAGCGACTAACGGGATCGGATAGTCAGGCTCGCTGACTTGGTGGATGCATGGCACCGTATCCGAATTGTGCAGACCGCCGTCATACAGCTGGAATATTGCTGAGTGCGACGTTAAATGAACAAACAAACAAAACCTTCAACCTGTTAGTTTAATATCTGGTTATCAGTTTTGCCAGCTCCGACATCTGGATCAGTCTCTTGTTTAATTCAATGCGAGGGATTTTATGACGCTTCTTTTGATAGTCGTCGATGCTTGAAGTCTGAATGTGAAAGTTGCGCAACCGAAGTTAGTCCAGTTATTCTATAATAGCCATATATTTTGTTTTCGCTCCGGGGATCACTCCATCCAAAAGCTTCTCAACTAGAAGTCCATCTTTAGATCTCTTCTCCACATACCTAAAACAAGATGTCACTGATGTAGCATTTGGATGTAGACACCAACATATAATAATTGCTATCAAATGTGAGGAGAGGCGATGAAATAGAGTCCAGCCTACCGGATCAGCACAATTTAAAAAATGAGTAAATCTTTAAGTTTCAGAATTCGTTATGAAAGATGTCTTGTGTATTAATTCATATGAATGAGGATCAGACTCCGTTTTCATCACCTGCATGGTTTAGACTTACAAGAACACCAGACGGTATATGTAAAATAGCTCAAATGTATCAAAAAGGCAGATTTAAGAGGATTTAAAATTTCGTGATGGAAATTTTCTGATATTTGAAGCAAACCTTTGAGACAAGCTTATTTTATTAGGAGATACATATTTGTAATTAAATCACTTTGGGTCATGCTCAGTTAACGTTTCTCTTGAAATTCATAAAATCTGCCTTTGTTCTAATTTTATCTACGTCTGACGCTTATAATTTCATGCACCGTGTCATTCTAAAGCTTCCAAGTGAGTAAGTTGGGTTTTAACGCCGTTTTGAACAGTGTTCCATTTATATCGCGGTGTGTCAGCTTGATGTGGGAGGAAAGCCCGAAGTGATGCACTTTTAGACGTTTACCACTTGGGTGAAACCCACGGGCAATGTATTGACGGGCAATCTATTGACACACCTAGACACATAATCGGGGCGAACCGGGATTCAAAACCACAATCATATGTTTCTGGCGTACCCAAAGTATGCAACTCTGCACAACGAATTGCGGCGCTTCAGACAACATTGCCCCTCTTCCAGTGAGTGAGTGAGTTGTGTTTAACGCCGCTTGTAACAGTATTCCAGTTATATCACGGCGTGTCAGCTTAACATGGAAGGAAAGTGATGCAGGTCTTAGACGTTAACCGCTTCGGTGAAACCCACGAGCATGGGTATGGTGCTGACAAACCTAGAAACATAATCGGAGCGAACCGGGATTCGAACCCACAATCATAGGTGTCTGGCGTGCCCAAGGGACGCAACTCTGCACAGCGAATTGCGGCGCCTTGGACGACTGGTGTCAGTGAGTCAACCATTAATGACGAAGTTGACTGCGATCGGTTGACAAAATAGGTCGGTGGTTGAAACAGATAAAAAAGAGTAAAATTTTAAAGTATATCTTGTAAAAGTATTAAATGAAAAAAATCGGACTGAAATGTTTCATTGACTGAGAAGACAATAAAAATTGCATTCCCAAATGAAACTACTTTGGAGGGTGTTTTTTCTTAATTATAGAAATTAGTTAATAGGCTGTACATTAATAATACGTGCTCCTCAAAATGCGTCTTCCCCAACATTTGATCCCTTGAAGCAATCAGTATCTAATATACACAATAAAATATCATTAATGTCAAACAATTAGGAGATAAACCGACTGTGTTTTCAATGTAGAGCTAGGTTACATGTAGATTTAAACGCGCTAAACTGAATTTGAAACCGAACGCTTAGCATGAGGCTTCAAATGTTCAATTTAGCGCGGTTCAATCTGCAGATAACCTCCACAGAAGGTTTATCTCTATTCTACCATGACCAGTAAAAGATGGAACTCTGTGAGGTGTAACGTATGGTTAGGTGAGCAGGACACTCCATATATGAAAAAAAGGGTTCATTTTCCTATAGGGATGGAAGGCTCAATATAATGGCAACACATAAAATAAATAACAGAAAACAAACATCTACAACAATGTTTCTATTTATTCAAATATCTATGTCTTTAAATACTATCTCAATTTACTATGAAACAATATTTTAATAGCGTTCGCGTACTTATTTGAAGTAATTGTAGATATATATAAAGAGCATTACCCATGTCTGTAGTAGATGAGGTAGATGTAGTCGTTGTAGAGACGTAGTCCGCTGCAGGAGCCGGACACGGGGCCGCCGTTGGGGACCAGCTGGGTGTTGGTGGAGGTCGACATGTCGAATACCCATACATCACCCGTCGACTTAGCGCACCAGTAGATCCTCTGGGCTGAGGGCATATAAAAGGGCGCGTCATTCAATCGGCATTCAGGTCGGAGTCAGGTCAGTATACTGTGTCTGGGGTATTCATGTTAAACTGCGGCATGGTATCTCAATGTGCTAGCACTATAACATCGGCATTAGTCCGGACTAGTACAAGCAGCCACACACACACACACACGTGTATGCACGTCGCTATATAAGTGCAATAATCTTGTGCGCGACGTTAAAGCCCATTTCACCTCACCTCACCCTTCTCGGAAGTGGATCAGTGTCCAGAAAAAGAATTGATTAAAGCGACATAAAATCCTCTTCCTTCTGTGTCGATTCGCCCCAAGTCTTCACGTGCAGACAGGGAGTAGGTTCAGAGTGAGTGAGTTGGGTTTAACGCCGCTTTTAACAATATTCCAGTTATATCACGGCGTGGCAGCTTAATGTGGGAGGAAATCCCGAAGTGATGCAGGTCTCAGACGTTTACCACTTCGGTGAAACCCACGAGCACGGGTATGGAGCTGACAAACCTAGAAACATAATCGGGGTGAACCGGGATTCGAACCGGGATTTGAACCCACAATCAGAGGTTTCGGGCGTGCCCAAGGGACGCAACTCTGCATAGCGAAATGCGGCGCCCTAGACGACTGGGCCACCCGTGCCCCCGAGTAGGTTTAGAGAAAACAACCTGGTTGTGTAATGAAACATATCGGCATGCACAGTTTACTTACATTAGTAGGAGCGAGTGACATCATTCAAACATGCAACTGCATGTGCCGATAGCAGTTATTCGCTGTATACACGCCCCGTAGGGTTATCAGGCTTCTAAGGATACATCGGGTGGCCAGGGTCCCCGATTTTGTTGATGCATGTAATCGTATCCCAATTGCATAGATCGATGCTCATTATGTCAATCACCTAATTGTCTGGTCCAGACTCGATTATTTACCGACCGCCGTCATATAGCTGGAATTTTGCTGAGTGCGGCGTTAAACAACAAACAAACAAACACAAATCTACAGTGCGAATCGCGGCGCCTAAGATGACATCTGTGACCCTTTGTTTGAATGCCCTAATTCAAAAGTTCAAATTTGTCTGAATATTTTACCTCTGAAAATTCCTCTGATGAAAGAATGCAAATTTTTTTTATTTACCTGGAATGTCGACGTCCATGCCCCACACCGTGGATGTTGATGTGAACATCGTCGTTACCGGAGACGCCTCATTAGTCTTCACGCTCTTCATCGTTTTAAACCCCTCATCAGCCCAGTACAGCACACTGAAAACAAAATGTATATACTGACGGAGAAACAACTGGAACGTACAGAAACGAAACCCTTCGGGACAAATGTGATCAAAGACATTTGACAAAACAGTACAGTGTTACACTAAACACAGTCGTGATACTATGTCTACTACTGCGTTTTTATACACCTATATCCAACATTGTAAACTCGAAGTCACGGGGGACATCTAAATATGTCGAATAATCCGTAGTTCGAGATACGTACCGATATTACACCACAGATTATGCCTGGTCAATAAAATGACATGAACATCGTCTTTAACGGGTTGTCGAGACAAATGGGTTCGAGTTATCTATGTTTTGCTGTAAAGTGAAAGTAGCTTTTTCGGTTAGATTCTCTATGCTCCCGTGTAATTGATTTTCAGAATAAGATCTAAACAGCAGGAAAAAGTAGAGTGAGTGAATGTTGTTTAACGACGCAGTAAATGTTCCAGCCATATCACGATGGAGAACGAGTATGGGACAGATTCACCAATGGGTGATATTATGAGTGAGTGAGTGAGTGAGTATGGTTCTACGCCGCTTTTAGCAATATCACGGCGGGGAACACCAGAAATGGGCTTCACACAGTGTACCCATGTCGGGAATCGAATCCGGGTCTTCGTCGTGACGAGCGATCGCTTTAACCACTAGGCTACCCGACCGCCCCGGTTGATATTATGAACAACAATCAGGAGTACTATGACACACAGTCAAGCCAATAACCAATCCTGACCACCCGATCCCATTTGGTCGATTTTAGGACGAGCGACTCACTTTAACTCATTCGGTGTTTAACTCATCCGGTGTTTATGGCCCCTAATTTGCAATATTCCAGCCATATCCCGTCTGAGACCTTAGAAAATGCTTCCCACATTGTACCCATGTGGGGAATCGAACCGGGGCCTTCGTCATAACGAGCGAACGCTTTAACCACTAGGTTATCCCACCGCCCCATGACTCACGGGGACATTGCATGACATACTGTTATATATGTAGTCAGATGGGTTCCAGAGTGTTATATCAGAGTTTATATCCTGTGTCAGCCTGTGGATATATCGGCGAGTGCGTTTGGTTCAACGATGCTTCAAACAATCTCCTAGTATCAGAATTAACCAGTACACCTTCAGGATGTGCATAAATACAAGTGCATAGTAACTATACATGAAAGTGCAGGTGCAATAGACAACGATCAATATACCTCCACCCTCCCCCACCCCCACCAAACCAAACCCATTTATCTGGTGAAGACCTTCAGTGGCAGGCAGTATTTTAATGGACACTATACAATATAACTTTGTCTAATTTCTAAAACAGAATACACAAATTGTCCTAATTTATAAATAATTTCTTGAGATTCACATTGTAAAGGATTAATACATTTAGACATTATAGGTTGATAAATGACGTTGGGTTACTACTAGCGTCCCGGCGGACTGGGTGTCATCGTACATGTACCTCCATGGCGCAGCTCGATGTTGATGGATTGATTATTAACAGGCCGCCGAGAAATAGGTGCAATTTTGCTGAATGCAGCATTATACAACATTCACACGCTCCTTGCAACTCTGCTCACATGTGGGGGCACGGGTGGCCTAGTCGTCTAAGGCGCCGCAATTCGCTGTGCAGAGTTGCGTCACTTGGGCACGCCAGAAACCTATGATTGTCGGTTCGAATCCCGGTTCGCCCGGATTATGTTTCTAGGTTTGTCAGAGCCATACCCGTGCTCGTGGGTTTCACCAAAGTGGTAAACGTCTAAAACCTGCATCACTTGTAGCTTTCCTCCCACATTAAGCTGACACGCCGTGATACAACTGGAATACTGTTACAAGCGGCGTTAAACATAACTCACTCACTCACTGCTCACTTGTCTTCCAAGTTGAGCTGGTTTTGACGTGGTTTGGACACTTCTAGGTCGGGCGCCATGATTGTCCAAGTGCCGTCTGACGTCATCTTGACCACGCGATCCCCGCTGACAGACAAGTAGATCAAGTCCCGGCATTCGTCGATAGACATTCCAAGAATCGTTCCTGAAACAAAGAATAACACCAGTTCATCATTAATGACCCCGTGTGGACACGTTACATTGTTACAGTGTCATATTGTTACCATAGTCATCTCTTTGTTACCAGGGGCGGTCGGGTAGCCATGTGGTTAAAGCGTTCGCTCGTCACGTCGAAGACCCGGGTTCGAATCCCGAAATGGGTACAATGTGTGAAGCCCATTTCTCGTGTTCCCCGCCGTGATATTGCTGGAATATTGCTAAAAGCGGCGTAAAACCATACTCACTCACTCTTTGTTACCACACCCAAACTCCATTGCTTTAACTGGTCCAGCCACGTTTGCGCTTCAGATTGTGGTGAAAAACACTCACTTTTTACCCAACTTGTTCTTATCGTAACGCGACAGTCTACCTGAATAGTTGGTTCCATGAGTTTGGTTGTCGCCCCCGTCTAGCTGTATCGACGTCACAGGGTTCGTCCCCAGGTAAATCCTGTTCTTCCTGTAATAGTACGCCATTGCCCGCGAACTCTGGGACAGCGTTTCTGTCCAGAGCATGCTACCATTGGATCTATACAGCGTTATGTCATTAGCTATCGCTATCAGCAGCCGTGGCTCTCCAGCTGACAAAAACAAAACACTGAATCAGATACACATCATACAGGTTGGTACTTTACGCCACTCAAACAACAATAAGGGATCGGGGCGAGGGAGAGAGGGGGCAAGAAGCGGTAGTTACTGGTATTTTTCGGTTACTGATGATAGTGAAAGAAGGAGTAGAACAATTTCATTTTTATTCTAGAAAATGACCCTCCACCCCTCACTCCAGAATATCAGATGGTCGGTCCCCCACCCAAATGGCTCTTACCCTGTGAAAATCCGGATTAGAATTGGTCCTCAGCAAACCATGATTGTCATAACAAACAAACAAACAAACAAACGAATTTCAGATAAAACCGACCAGTGACAGTTGAATTTTAAAGCTGTGTCTTGAAAGATACTTTGAGGTTATCTAACGATTCAATACCAAAATTCGATTTCCCAAGTGATTGTGCAGTATATCATTTTGAAACCCATTAAAACCATGTCAGTTTCATATCGCCTTTCACTAAAAGTAAAGGTCTATGTATTAACTGATGTCCATGGTTGCAGTCTATTCCGCCTAGGTCTTCTCCACCAAGTCCAGTTTCCACCCTTGCCGAACTAGGCAGGAAGTTACGTTTTGGCTGGACTAACGAGTCTATGCATAGTCCAATCAAAATCGCGTAATGAACGAGACATCCGGTTCGTAAACAACATGGATTTCAACGTGCAGATTTCGGTCGACTGCAGGATTTACAAAGCATGTACACCGTCAACTGGGCCTCGACAGATATTTTGTAAACAATTTCATGTTTTTAATCAAGATGCTCAAGTAATTTGATGCACTTCGCGGGGAAAGACCCGTTTTATTACAATTTTGTATCTTGATTATCGACCAGATTGTTTTGACAAGGCGCCGCCATTTTGTTTGAAGCACATGCAAGGGATATGAAAGATGGAATCTGATTGGTCAATAGGTGGGACATAGAAGGGACATTACTTGTTATAGCCATGGTGGCGCTACGATGGAAGGGTGGACACTTAAACGCTCTTGTCAGTTAACGCCCTTGTCTCGGGAAGATGCGGCTTCTCGCGAAAGTAACGCTTGAAGGCTGCGGTACGACCTCAGCCTTATAGCAGTAGTACCGCGGAGGTTCCGTGATTCAATCGCGAATCTTCTGCGATGAGTGTAATTAATTTCCCCGGAATCTCCGCGTAACTATGGGATGGCTTCTACTTGTGGACAGCATGCATTGCATGTGATCTCTCCATGGGACTGAATATCAATCGATACTACAGCGTTACATTGTCAATACATCAGGACATGTCAGCACGTGACACGCTACGACTACTGGTCCACTCAACACGTGACATGAAACAGTAAAAACATATGCAATATAACAATAACCGTTTGATACATAGTTATACATTCATACATTACTTAATGTTAATATGTGCCCAACAGAAGTTAACTAAGAATAATCATTGATAATGTTTTTTTCGTATTGCTCCCAGAGCTATGCCATCCTGTCCACAAGAGACACGTGTGAATACCATTAATTGTTGAAATCCGAATAATGAGCCGTGCGTTTTCTATCCTATTTTACCAAAGATCTTATGATAATGCACACACAAAATGTCAGGTGTTTTGAGCGAAAATGTATAGGTGCCTGCACTGTTTTTGTTTTTATTTTAAATCTAGCTTTAGCTTATACAAACCTCTCTGATTCCAACATGACCTTTGTGACGACACATAAAAGAAATATTTCTCACTTGGATTTCATAGAACAGCCCCATCAACCACCACCATCGATACTACAGCATAACATTGTCAATACATCTTATGTAAATAATTGATATTTGCACACGGTGTGTTTGTTAATGTGTATAATCACATGATAGTTGACCCGTGAAATTCCGGGTAGAGAATAGCTAGGTCTTCAGCAACCCCTGCTTGTCGTAAGAGGCGACTAACGGGATCGGGTGGTCAGGAACACTGACGTCGTTGGTGCATGTCATGGTCATGATGTTTTGGTTTGTTGTTTTACGCCGCACTCACCAATATTCGAGCTATATGACGGCTGTCTGTACATAATCGAGTCTGGACCAGACAATCCAGTGAATGATATCATGGACATCGATCCATGCAATTGGGGCCGATGACATGCATCAACCAAATCAGCGAGCCTGACCACCCGATCCCGTTAGTCGCCTTTTACGACAAGCATAGTCGCCTTTTACGGCAAGCATGGGTTGCTGAAGACCTATTCTACCCCGGATCTTCACGGGTTTCATGATGTTAATATGTGAGTGAGTGGACACTGAAATTCACAAAGTGTTTCTAGCAGTGTAGCTTATTTCAATGGCACCTCAGTGATTCTGGACATCCACATGTCATGGGTACATAGTATGTCACTGGTACATGGTATGTCATGGGTACATGGAATGTCACTGGTACATGGTATGTCACTGGTACATGGTATGTCACTGGAACAAGGAATGTCACTGGTACATGGTATTTAATGGGAACATGGTATGTCATGGGTACATGGTATGTCATGGGTACATGGTATTTCACTGGTACATGGTATGTCACTAGTACATGATATGTCACGGGTACATAGTATGTCACTGGTACATGGTATGTCATGGGTACATGGTATGTCACTGGTACATGGTATGTAACTGGAACATGGAATGTCACTGGTACATGGTATTTAATGGATACATGGTATGTCATGGGGAACATGGTATGTCATGGGTACATGGTATGTCACTGGTACATGGTATGTCACTGGTACATGGTATGTCACTAGTACATGATATGTCACGGGTACATGGTATGTCACTGGTACATGGTATGTCACTGGAACATGGAATGTCACTGGTACATGGTATTTAATGGATACATGGTATGTCACGGGTACATGGTATGTCATGGGTACATGGTATGTCACTGGAACATGGTATGTCACTGGTACATGGTATGTCACTGGTACATGGTATGTCATGGGTACATGGTATGTCACTGGTACATGGTATGTCATTGGTACATGGTATGTCATGGGTACATGGTATGTCACTGGTACATTGTATGTCACTTGTACATGGTATGTCATGGGTACATGGTATGTCACTGGTTCATGGTATGTCACTGGTTCATGGTATGTCACTGGAACATGGTCTGTCACTGGTACATGGTATGTCACTTGTACATGGTATGTCATGGGTACATGGTATTTAATGGGTACATGGTATGTCACTGGTACATGGTATGTCATTGGTACATGGTATGTCACGGGTACATGGTATGTCACTGGTACATTGTATGTCACTTGTACATGGTATGTCATGGGTACATGGTATGTCACGGGTACATGGTATGTCACTGGTTCATGGTATGTCACTGGTACATGGTATGTCACTGGTACATGGTATGTCACGGGTACATGGTATGTCACTGGTACATGGTATGTCATGGGTACATGGTATGTCATAGTACATGGTATGTCACTGGTACATGGTATGTCATGGGTACATGGTATTTAATGGGTACATGGTATGTCACGGGTATATGGTATGTTACTGGTACATGGTATGTCACTGATACATGGTATGTCACGGGTACATGGTATGTCACTGGTACATGGTATGTCATGGGTACATGGTATGTCACGGGTACATGTTATGTCATGGGTACATGGCATGTCACTGGTACATGGTATGTCACTGAAACATGGAATGTCACGGGTACATGGTATTTAATGGATACATGGTATGTCACGGGTAAATGGTATGTCATGGGTACATGGTATGTTACTGGTACATGGTATGTCACTGGTACATGGTATGTCATGGGTACATGGTATATCATGGGTACATGGTATGTCATTGGTACATGGTATGTCATGGGTACATGATATGTCACTGGTACATGGTATGTCACTTGTACATGGTATGTCATGGGTACATGGTATGTCATGGGTACATGGTATGTCACGGGTACATGGTATGTCACTGGTACATGGTATGTCATGGGTACATGGTATGTCACTGGTACATGGTATGTCATGGGTACATGGTATTTAATGGGTACATTGTATGTCACGGGTACATGGTATGTCACTGGTACATGGTATGTCACTTGTACATGGTATGTCATGGGTACATGGTATGTCACGGGTACATGTTATGTCATGGGTACATGGCATGTCACTGGTACATGGTATGTCACTGAAACATGGAATGTCACGGGTACATGGTATTTAATGGATACATGGTATGTCACGGGTAAATGGTATGTCATGGGTACATGGTATGTTACTGGTACATGGTATGTCACTGGTACATGGTATGTCATGGGTACATGGTATATCATGGGTACATGGTATGTCATTGGTACATGGTATGTCATGGGTACATGATATGTCACTGGTACATGGTATGTCACTTGTACATGTTATGTCATGGGTACATGGTATGTCATGGGTACATGGTATGTCACGGGTACATGGTATGTCACTGGTACATGGTATGTCATGGGTACATGGTATGTCACTGGTACATGGTATGTCATGGGTACATGGTATTTAATGGGTACATTGTATGTCACGGGTACATGGTATGTCACTGGTACATGGTATGTCACTTGTACATGGTATGTCATGGGTACATGGTATGTCACGGGTACATGTTATGTCATGGGTACATGGCATGTCACTGGTACATGGTATGTCACTGAAACATGGAATGTCACGGGTACATGGTATTTAATGGATACATGGTATGTCACGGGTAAATGGTATGTCATGGGTACATGGTATGTTACTGGTACATGGTATGTCACTGGTACATGGTATGTCATGGGTACATGGTATATCGTGGGTACATGGTATGTCATTGGTACATGGTATGTCATGGGTACATGATATGTCACTGGTACATGGTATGTCACTTGTACATGTTATGTCATGGGTACATGGTATATCGTGGGTACATGGTATGTCATTGGTACATGGTATGTCATGGGTACATGATATGTCACTGGTACATGGTATGTCACTGGTACATGGTATGTCATGGGTACATGGTATGCCACTGGTACATGGTATGTCACTTGTACATGGTATGTCATGGGTACATGGTATGTCACGGGTATATGGTATGTTACTGGTACATGGTATGTCACGGGTACATGGTATGTCACGGGTACATGGTATGTCACGGGTACATGGTATGTCATGGGTACATGGTATTTAATGGGTACATGGTATGTCACGGGTACATGGTATGTCACTGGTACATGGTATGTCACTTGTACATGGTATGTCATGGGTACATGGTATGTCACGGGTACATGTTATGTCATGGGTACATGGCATGTCACTGGTACATGGTATGTCACTGAAACATGGAATGTCACGGGTACATGGTATTTAATGGATACATGGTATGTCACGGGTAAATGGTATGTCATGGGTACATGGTATGTTACTGGTACATGGTATGTCACTGGTACATGGTATGTCATGGGTACATGGTATATCGTGGGTACATGGTATGTCATTGGTACATGGTATGTCATGGGTACATGATATGTCACTGGTACATGGTATGTCACTTGTACATGTTATGTCATGGGTACATGGTATGTCATGGGTACATGGTATGTCACTGGTACATGGTATGTCATGGGTACATGGTATGTCACTGGTACATGGTATGTCACCTGTACATGGTATGTCATGGGTACATGGTATGTCACTGGTACATGGTATGTCATGGGTACATGGTATGTCACTGGTACATGGTATGTCATGGGTACATGGTATGTCACTGGTACATGGTATGTCACTGGTACATGGTATGTCATGGGTACATGGTATGTCACTGGTACATGGTATGTCATGGGTACATGGTATATCGTTGGCACAAAATAATGACTTACTTCTACCAGCATCCCTTGCAGGAGGCGTGCAGGGGGCGGTCTGCAAGAACAAGACAAAGCATTAGT